CAGACGCCTGCATTCTAAGCAACATTGTAGCCAAGCATGTGTCACAGTATAAAAAAAGGGTGATACATGATGACTTTGGGGAAAAAAGTAAGTGACTGTAGTTTATCACATTCCCATGCTACAATCCCAGGGTCATCACCATGAATGCAGAAAAAGCATCTGGCAGACCTCAGCGTTCTGTCTTGATAAGCATCTCTCAGCCAACTAGGCACGAAAGGGAATTTCCCCCTCCTGATAAGGAGTGTCCATGAGAACCCTACAGGTAACATCGGGCTTCCTAGAGAAGGACGCAACGCACCCCCCTGGGCTCAGGAGCAGGGCGCATGTCCTCTCTCACCACTCGCCTGCAGCCTTGTTCTGGTGAGTTTGAACAAGTGACACTCAGGCTAGAGAGAAAAAAGGAGACCTCCGTTCCTAGGTGATCTGATGGTCTGGGTAGAAGTTCTGATGGGATTTCTTATTAAAAAGCTATTAGAATGAGTAAGTGAGTTTCGCAAGGTTTCGGGATATGAGATCGATGTACAGAACTCAAGTGCATTTCTGTTTGGTAGCAGTAAAAAGTTGGAAATTGATTCAAGAACCGATGCAGCAAAGTACAGTGGCATCACAAACATGAAACCCTTAGGGCTGTGTGTGCCCTCACACTGTGGGCCGTGGAGCCCCTCGGAGGAAAGCTAGAGTCCCCCAGCAAACCGAGGGGCAGCCCGTGCTCGAGGACCAGAGGACAGTTCAGATGTCCCTCCTCCACATGTTGACCCGTGGGCTCCACACAATCCTAGTCCCAATCCCAGCCGACCTTTTTGGTAGGAGCTGGCTAGCTGATCTAAGATTTGGATGGGAATTCTAAGAACTTAGAAATGATGAGACAACTTGGAAAGAAAACAAAACTGGAGCCCTTAGTATTTGACTCGAAGAGTACTTTAAAGCTGTAGTAACTGATGCCATGTGGCATCAGTGTGAAGACAGACAAATACGTCAACTCAACACAACAGAGTCCAGGAACACGAGGTCTGTCTGGAAGGAGTCCAGCCATGGTTAATAGAATGAGAGTGGTTTGTGTGACATCGATGTCACCTGGCAGCCAAGGAGAGTGGACTGGAATGTGCATACGTGAACAAAGATGACTTCCCTGGACTGGTCAGTGGGGGCGATAGATGCCCTTGAGTGAGCGTGTTCGCTGAGTGGCCACTGCATTCAAAATGACGGAGTGATGCTCTGGCTGGTGTGGCTCAGTGGGCTGAGTGCCGGGCTGAGAACCAGAGGGTCGCACATGCCTGGGTTGTGGGCCAGGTCCCCAGTAGGGGGCACTCAGGAAGCAACCACACATGCGTGTTTCTCTCCCACTCTCTCTTCCTTCTCCTCTGCCTAAAAATAAATAAGATCTTAAAAAACAAAACAAAACAAAACAAAACAAAATGACTTGAGTGAGCAGAGAAATACATTTGCATCAAATTTTGTGTTAAGCTTGAACATTCCTCCATAGAAACTATTCAGATAATTCAGAAGGCTGCAGCTCTGGGCAGCTGGTGATTGACAGCTTCATCACAACAATGCACCTGCTCATGCATCACATCACGTCTGTTGCAGAGTTTTTTTTGGCAAAACATCAAATCACCCAGGTGACTCAGCCCCACTACAGCCCAGATTTGGTGCCCTGCAACTTCTGGTTTTTCCCAAAACTAAAATCACCTTTGAAAGGAAAGCGATTTCACACTGTTGATGAGATTCAGGAAAATATGACGGGGCAACTGATGGCAATTGGGAGAACTGTGTTAGGTCCCAAGGTGCCTACTTTGAAGGGGACTGAGGCTTCATTGTCCTGTGTACAGTGTTTCTTGTATCTTGTATCATCTTTGATAAATGTCTCTGTTTTTCATAGTACATGGCTAGACACCCTCTAGACAGACCTTGTATGTCTATACGTCCATTATCAGTTTACTTTCAACAGAGGTGCAAAGGTAATTTGGTGGGAAAAGGGCATTTTCCACAAATGCCATTAGAATGATTGGCTAGCCAGAGACAAAAGATGAACTTGGATCCATACTTGACATTGTCTGCAGAAAGCAGTTCAGCAGGATCATAGATGTAAACCCTGGAACTGTGGCCCGTGCAGGTGACACTTGGGAGGAAGCCTGTGACATCAGCCCAGGCCGCAGTTTCTGGGGTAGAGGTGACCCATTCAAGCATGACCTGTAAAAAAACAATGTGATAAATCGGACTTCCTCAAAATGAAAGCTTGTTGTTTGGAACCAGCTGTTCAGAGGATGAGAAGACAGTGCGAGGACTGGCAGGACACACCTGCGGTGGCAGGTCTGATGAGGGGCTTGTGGTCCTCGACTCATTCATTCATTCATTCAAGGTGCAGATCAAGACCTTGCCCGACCTGGAGCCAGCGACCTGCAGGCCGCAGGTGTGCAGAGATGCCCCGGGAGAGCACAGAGGCACGTGGCAGGTGCGCTTGTGAGCAGGTGCTCACCGTTGGCCCTCCTCACTGGGGAGTCGCAGATCCACACAGGAACGGCTCCCTGCACAACCACTGGGGTAGCAGAGACCGGAAGGTTGTGTGCGCCCTATGCTGGCGAAACGCGGGTGAAATTTGAACTCGGCTGCTGGGGTGCAAGTTCATACAGCCACTTCGGAAGACGTTTCAGCCATTTCTTGGGGCGTTGAACATGCTCGTGTCTACTCTGTCACCCAGCTGCTGCACACCCCCATGCTTGCCCCGAGGAAGTGAGAGCGTGTGGCCACAGAGAGCCGTGCACGCGGGTGTGCAGAGCAGGCTCTACGGCAGACTGGGAGCGGCCCAGTCTGCAGGGGGGTGGCCGCAGTTCACTCCCCGAATTCCATCTGATCTGTACAGAGGACAGACACCGATGCGCACACCATAGTGTTGGAAACTCTCAAGTTACTGTGTTCAGTGACAGGAGCCAGACAAGACCAAGGGTACATACTACATGTACTGTGTGTGTACAGTTCTGGATAATACAGCCTTCTCTACTGGCATGGCTCGGGGCTGTCGGGAGAAGGGGTGAGGAGGGGAGGCGGCAGTGAGTGTGGACCGGGAGGAGGCGGCGGCGGCTGGCCGTGTGCGTTACTTTGTGGAGAGGCCATCAGTGGGAAGCACATCTGTGAGAGTTTGTGGGTTGTGCCCTTGGTGCAGTTATGTCCATTATAACTTGGTAAACTGAAGTTCATGTTTTTGCTTTTTACACGGTGAGCTCTCCTTCACTTTACACTGGCAGTCGAGGATTCATTCTCAGTCTTCCTCAGTTTGGCCCACGAGCTCCGACAGAGAAGGTGTTTCCTCGTTAATGTTGGGTGACATAGAACGTCAAGTCCATTCACACAACTCAGGGACTGGGCCGCGCTGACTGTCCCGCTGCGCTGGTTCCCTTGCCTCCCCGCCCTGCCTACGGATGGGGTCTTCAGCCTGGCTCTCGCAATGGGGACCTTGAGTTGGTAGGGCTGTCACCTGGGATGCAGGCGGGCAGGAGCCCAGGTGGCCTCTGTCCTGGGAGCTCTTTGGGTCATTAGCACTGTGGAGTGCCCACTGTGGTCACAGCCCCTTTCATGGAGGACCGGGCCACGGCGTCGCTGGGCTGGGGAGTAGAGAAGCGACTTTAGAAGCCTTGCTGTGTCAGAAAGTTCTGGTGACAGTTTTCTACTAGGAGATGGAAGATGTCTGAAACTTGTAAAACATTTTATTTTCTGCTAAGGTAAGTGTGTTGTCAGTTTTATTAAATCTGTGGCAATTTTTGAAAGAAAGCGTGAGCTGACTTGGTGACTTCTGTTGCCCTTCCTGCTGGAGACGGTGGACCTCTCTCCGGTTGGCCTGTACGAGCCCCCCATGAGCTTGTTTGGTTGGTACGTGCCGTGTGGTGCGGTTCTGAAGGGGCTTCGGGCAGTCGCCGTGGGCCCCGTGAGCTCAGGGCAGACCCCCGCGCCTGGAGCGCACGCCACCAGGGCAGCCGTGTCTGTTTTGCTTGCCCACTGGTGGGTCTCAGCGCCCGGACCGCCCCGCCTCGTGGATGGGGAGAGGATGGAGCGCCAGTTGCCCACGTCAGAAGCACTGAATTGTATCTGTGGCGTAGTTTTCATCTTTGACTCTGGAGTTCATAAGTTTTATAAAGAGTGCAGCCATCATTTTGAAAGTAAGTTTTAAACTTTGGTGTTTCACCTTTAAAGAGCAGGAGATGTTGAGCCAAGTGTTGCCCAGAGGACACAGGCAAAGGTCTCCTTTTCTAACAATGTTCTTAGCTGCTTTTTACTGTGGTTTTCTGAGACCTGCAGAACGTGCTGGCGAGGGAAAGCGTTATGGGAGCCTGCCTGTCTTCCTTTGCTTCCCCACTTGGCAGTGCTCACTGAACCACCCACGAGGGGTGCTTTGTGGACACCCCAGGAGTCAGAGCTGCCACCGCTGGCCCAGCGGCCTCCGCACGCTGTGACCCGCCTTTGCCCGGGGCCTGGGGGGTTGGGGGCGGTGCCGGGACGAGTGAACGGGTTTGCATCCTGTCCGTAAATCACTTAGACCAGCACTTGGCACAGAAGGGCTCAATAAATGCTAATTATTCCTTTTAGGGTTTTAATGAGGCTTAAATTAAATGAGATTATGCATGTAAAATGCTTAGTAGAGTATCTGGCATTTATTAAGTGCTCCATAAACGCTGGTGGCTCTAATTCAAACGCTCAGGTGCCAGTGTGTCGAGGGAGGCTGTGCCTCTGGGTCTCTACGTGTGGCGTGGCTTTGGTGCCTTTACCTCGGGGCGCAAGGGAAGGTTTCCACGTTGGCCGTGGCCAGTAGGCGCGTGTCGCGAGATCACACAGACGTTGAGGAATTCCTTTCTGATTTGTAAGGCTAGGCCGCTCGCTAGGCCGCTCGGTTTTTGCCGTGGGTTTTTACTGTTCGGGAGCACAGCTCTCTGACTGGCGCTGCCCGTGCCGGGGTGCCCCCACGGCCCGGCCTGCGGGCCCCTAACCTGTCCCCCATGTTGCCCCCGCAGGTCTGTGGAACCTCGCTTCTCTCTTCTCCAACCTCTGTTTGTTTGTCCTGATGCCCTTCGCCTTCTTCTTCCTGGAGTCGGAAGGTTTCGCTGGCCTGAAAAAGGTGAGTGAACCCTGTGTGGGAATCACATTAGTTAAAAACGGAGAGGTAAATATTATTCACGTTGCACTATAAAAATGTGGCTTAAACAGCCGTTGGACTGGAATGTAAAAGTTTAGTGAATAACAACATCTTGTGAATATAACTGACGACATTACCAGTCACATTAGTAATACTGCTTGTTGAATGACTCTGCCTGTCCACGGGGTGGGGGGAGTCACCTTTGACCTCTGAGTGCATCTGCGGGCCGTGTGGGCATGGTGGGGCCGGCCTGTGAGGACCAGTGGCTGCCCTGGGGCAGCAGCGGCGGCCCCTTCCTCACCTTCCTCCTGCAGTTCAAGGCCTGGCCCGGACTTCCAGAACGTGTCCTGTTGGGAGTCGTCTCACCTGCAGTGTTCAGGCCTGTAGTGTGTCCCAGTCTCAGCCATGTGCTGGCAAGCAGTTGGGGCCCCGAGGCCCTCCCTGGGGCTCCTGCGGGGGTGAGGCGGGCGGTGGAGGAGGACCTGGCAGACTGCGTGGGAGCACCCCGTGCACCTGCCTGTCCCGGGGGTAGTGACTCCTGTCTCCCTGCGGCAGTTTAAAGGGAGAACAAGAGAGTTCCTGCTTGTAGTCTGTGGGGCTCTTTGCTGTAAACTTGTGGAATACAGTGCAAAGGTTTGAGTAGCTAACGGTTTTTGCGTGACTTTTAGACTTGGTGAAGTGAGATCTGCCGTGGTGGTTTACTTGCAGGCACAGCAGGCTGCCCAAGTCCCAGTTCTCTGCGCGCCGTGGTGTCTGGACTGGAGTGTGTGTGTCCCATGGGTGAGCAGGGCGGTGACGTCAGGTGCACGGGTTTGGCCTGGGCAGTCGTGCACGGGGTGTGCGCTTTTCTTCCCTGTGACTTTCTGCGGGTTTTTAGGGGTGGAGCGGCTTAGCCTCACATTGTGACAGCTCTCTGGTTTTAGTCTGAAGGGCACCTGTTGCAGACACGTGCACTGCTGGGGGCCGGTGGGCTCGCCTCCCGGGTCTGCAGACACCAGTCCTCACAGTGTCTGCAGCCCCCGCCAGGGCCGGGATCCGGATCTGAAGGGATGGCTGTGTTTGCCACCCATCTGGACAGCGAGAAAAGTGGCTTCTACTGTTGGTTTTCGTTACGATGTATCAGGTTGGCCAAAAAGTTTGTTTTTCCCTGTAAGATGGCTCCAGAAGCGCTTAGTTGTCTTTAACTTAATTTGAAACAATTTTGTTAGATTGTATTGTGACAGCTGTCCCGTCGCCTGCATTTAAGAAAAAACTTACCCAAATCGGGGAATTTTTGTGCAGCCATTTTAACACTGACGATGGAAGAAAATACACAACAGTTTCGGCATAGTTTGCTTAATTAAGTCAAGAGAGGTAAAAATGTAACTGAGGTGCAAAACCAGATTTGTGCCGTGTGTGAAGGTGCTGTGACTGATGGAGCGTGTCGGAAGTGGTTTGCGGAGTTTCGTGCGGGAGGTTCCTCGGTGGACGTTGCCCCCTGAGGTCGGGTGGGCCAGTGGGGTTGACACCGCCCTCGATCAGTTCGAGACCGTAGTGAAAGCAACCCACGTTCTGCCACGCGGGAGACAGTTGACACACTCAGAATGTCCAGTTCGATACAGTTATTAGTGAACATGAAAAATGTGTCTTATTTTATGGAAAAAACCAAATGGACTTTTTGGCCAACCCCATTTATTTTGCACCTACAATTTTGTAGTATTCTTCCCTCTAAATTTTTTACTTCTAGTCTCTCACTAAATATCTGAAAGGATTTTCCTTTTTAAGCACATTTTTGGTTATGCTACTGTCCTCACAATCCCTCTGGGTCACCAGCTCCGTTGGGGATCGCCAAGGGGATGGACATGGGGAATGAATGTCTCAGGCCGCGGTCCACCCGAGTGCCCGAGTCACGCACACACTGCCTCAGAGAGCGGAGGAAGAGGGTGCAGGCAGCGCTGAGGGCGGCTGCGGTCACTCTGCCTCGGGAGGTCTTGGGCCTCCGTGCTGTCAGGGCAGGAGGGCGGTGGGGCTGTGTCCTGGGGGCTGCGGAGGGAGTGTGAGTGCTGGGGGTCCTTGGAGGAGAGAGCAGGGTGCAGAGGTGGGGGTGGGACGGCCGGGTGGGGTCGCCTCAGCCGGGGCTTCTCTGTGAGACGGTTGCCTGCTGCAGGGTGAGATACGACCAGAGGGGAGGATTCGTGGAAAGCGAAGCCCAGGACTTAGCTCAGTGAGTGAGAGAGCGCCATTGCCCTTGTCCTGGAACGGAATGTGTCTGACTAGTCAGCACTGTGCCGTAGAGAACCCTGGTGTGGTGCGGGGCGCCCAGAAGCCCCCGGGTGCAGTTAGCTCGTCGTTGTTTGCTGTCCCCGGCAACGGGTTAGAGTCCCATTTTGGAACTGCAGACAGAAGCAGAACCCACCCTGCTTGCAGATGGTGCTCTCTGGGCCGTATTGGAAATGCGCGGGGAGCTCTACCATTCGGGCGATTGCAGCCTGTGTTCTCCAGTGCTCCTGCGTCTCCAGTTTTAAGTCACTGGCAGCGACGTGGCAAGGGCTGTTGGCACTGTCTGGTCACGTGTGGGTGTGTGAAGTGCACACTCAAGCCTCTTAGTGTCAGGTCTCAAGGTGCTCCTAGATCGTAGGTGTGACCGGTGCGGGTCCCAGGAAGCGTGAAAACACGCAGCCCCAGGCTGTGCCATAGCTGCCGGGCGCTGCCGCTCACTGAGGCGCTCCCATGGCCCGCACAGCCAGCCGGCAGGTCAGTGAGTTCCTCTGGGTCCCGGAGCAGCCCAGCTCACCGGTGACGTTTGACACATTGGTCCCCAACGATACTCAGGAGAGTTTAGAAAACACCTCTAATTGGAAGACCCAGCACTGCGATTTGTGTGGCGACGGACTTGTAACGTGGTGAGTTACAGTCCCTTTACGTCCCTCGGCCACCCTCCTGGGGCTGTTTTACTGCGTCTGAGTCTGGTGGGGGTCCCGGAGAGGCACATGGCCCCGGTCCTCCCATTGATTCCCCTGGGCCATCGATTTTAAAGCGGCCTCTTGCATATCGTGCCGAGATGCGGAAATTGGCCACTAGCCACGGGCGGATGCAGAGCTTGAATTGAAAATCAAATTAAGCAGAATTCTCTACTTAGTTTTTAATTAAACCGCCATGTTAATTCAAACAGGACATTTTAGGCCTGGGGGGTTGACCATGTCCTTTTAAGGGCCTTAAATAGCCTTTCTTCGGCCTCCTTGCCGCGGCGTGTGTTTCTATTTTAGGAGGCCGTCTCCGTGCTGTTCCTACTCTTTATAGTTCTCAAGGGTGGGTGGATGTAAGTGGTTTTGATAAAACTTTTTTTTTTTTTTTAAGCGAGAAGGTCACTTTTATCTTGGAACTCTAACTTATTGCTAGAAGTGCAATGTTGATCAACTTTAGGTTGTGTCTCGGCCACGTGTTTGTAGTGAGTGTTGTGTATGACTGCGTGTGTTTGAACCTGACCCCACCCTCCATTTTAATGTTTCAGCTCTGATGAAAAGGTCGCATCTGCTGGTTCTTGTTTGTTTTGTGGTGGGTGATGCTTCCCCCGCAGTTTTTCTCTCGGTCCCTGAGATGAGCACTGGAGTGTGAGGGGCTTGGGCCCCGCAGCTCGTTCCCCGGCAGCCCAGCCGGCAGCCGTGAGGTTTCCTCTGTGCACGGCGCCGGGGAGGGACCCTGTGACGTCCTGGGTGGTGTCCGAGCACGGGAGGAGCCGCAGCCAGGGTTCGAGCGGGAGTCAGGGGCGTGATTGTCTCATATAGCGTTTCACTTCTTCCTTTGAATTAAAATGTTTCGAGGAAAATATTCGATAACATAATGAGAGTGAAACAAATCGCATCTGCGGCAGATTAATTCAAGACGAAGGATGTTTCTGGGAGCGGCTTCCCCCTGCGCCTCACCGCAATGCGATCTTTGATTTGAAGTCACGGCATAAAATGTAACCCGAGTGACAGCGACATCCTGACCAATTACCCGATGGCCCAGACAGCCCCCAACGTCCAGAGCATACATAGCACGCGCTCTGTGGGATTAGGAGGTTAACTCCCGAAACTTCAAACGGAGTGCTTGATAATAAAAGCAGAAAGTACAGAATTCGAGGGGACTTCCTTTCTTAATTAATTGGACCGGCCAGGTGGGGCGAGGGGCTGGGTGCTGGTGCTGGACGGCCCATAAAGCCGAGCACCGTGACGGCCGAGCACGAGGGTCGGAGATCGCTTTAATATGTCTCTATCCTGTGTCACAGTGTGAAACTGTCCTGGTTTATGTCCCTCTTGGCAAACTTCCATAAAAGTGACCCTGTACTGTATTTTATGGCCAGACGGCTTTGCCCCCAGTGGCTAATTCATATCAGGCCTCCATCTTCAGGAGACGCAGGCTGGAGAGGAAGCCCCGCGTGGTCGCGGGGCGCTTTCCTGGCGCTCTTTCATTATTTTTGCTCGTTTTTGCCACTGATCATCCATAAATTGTTGGAAATGAGTGATTAAGGAAGTACTGCTTAGTGTTAGCGGCACAAGCGCATGTTGGTCCGGCTGCTGGGGGTGAGAGGAAGTGGCCGAGGGAGAGGAAAACTCCCGCTGGGAGGTCTCCGAGGAGCCTCACCCAGGGTCGCGTTTTGATCTTGGAGTTTATGACAGAAAACGGAGTCCTATCGCACTCAGCATCGTTGTGTGCTCACTCGATTTCCCCAACACCTCCGAGAAAAAATCATTCAGTAAGTTATTAATAGGCTTCCGCAGGCCCTCCCCCCCGGGTGGGGAGGACTGGTTTCTTCCAGAGAAACACCATGGACCAGAAGGGACGTTTTCCAAGTACACGACCTCTGCAGTGGTGCACTCGGGGCTGCTCGGCCGTAAGGTGGGGCTGCAGCCCGGGAGGCTGGGCAGGCAAAGGCATACCTGTGCGGTTTTTAGTGGAAGAGTGCATTTGTTTGATGTGAAACTTGGTTTGTAGAGATTTTCAACAGACCCGTCCACCTCATG